TGAAGGTTGTCAATGAAGCAATTAAGCCGCCTCCTTTACAGATCTTATTCCATTATTCAAGAGCCACCAAGATGATGAAGGGAGTGGAGCATCTCCCTCATGAGGAAAGGCTGAGGGAGCTGGGGCTCTTTAGTTTGGAGAAGAGAAGACTGAGGGGAGACCTAATTAATGTTTATAAATATGTTAAGGGCGAATGTCAGGAGGATGGAGCCAGGCTCTTCTCAGTGATGCCCAATGGTAGGACAAGGGGCAATGGGTGTGAGCTGGAACACAGAAGATTCCACTTAAACTTCAGAAGGAACTTCTTTACAGTGAGGGTGACAGATACTGGAACAAGCTGCCCAGGGAGGTTGTGGAGTCTCCTTCTCTGGAGACATTCAAGACCCGCCTGGATGCCTTTCTATGTGATCTCATTTAGGTTCCTGCTCTGGCAGGGGGAGTGGACTGGATGATTTTTCAAGGTCCCTTCCAATCCCTGACATTCTGTGATTCTTTCTATAAGCTAAACATGAAATGAAAATCACCACAGTAACAGAACACTAAAGTTCATAAAGCAGCAAATTAGAGCAAATAGATGTCCTTCTCTTTAACTAGAGTCTACACATGATCCACCAGTTAGTTGAACTGGTTTGCTTTCTCAGTGTTTTCTCTACAACCAGCCTCACTTGCATCCTTCAGGTAAGTGAGCATTCTAGTACATAAGGCAGATACATTGTCTGGCATTCACCCCACTTTACTGAGCTTGTCTTTTATTGTCAGCATATCTAGAGACTCACACTTGCTCTACTGGTCATCATTTCAAGTTCGGGTGTTAGTCCCAGTTCCTGACCCAACAAGCAGCTGAATTTAAAACTAGGGATGATCAGTTGTTTCTAGAGGAATGCTATCACTGAAAAGAAACATCCTGTGCAAAGTCAGAGCACCTATGTGGCATTTCACTTTGATTTCTTCTAATGTATGCAGACCCTTTACCTCATAGTATCCAACAATTTGAAAGAAGCTCTGAGTAGTCTAAATTAACTCATGTTAGTAGGATACATTTTTACATAGAGAGAAAAGTTAGATTGATTTTGCTCTCAAGAGATCCCAAAGCATGTCCAGGAAAATGAACTTGCAAAATATGGAAGCTGTACAATTTATGATAATTATGACAGACCTCTTCAGGACTTGATCCTCAAATTACAGCAGGAAATAGGCATTATCTGATACGTTACCATAAATTCTTAACTGATACATAGTTTTTAACACAGGACACATAAGCCTAATTTGAATGAACATTTATTGAAGCTGAAAAACAGCTTACCTGGTGTTGTGGGTTTACCCTTAGGTTCAAGTTGTACATGTGTTCCTTTGACTGGCTCTTCTTTGGACTGAACTGGTTGAGGCAAAGCTGATTTTGCTGTTTGTGTACACTGTTCAGCCTTCCGAGGGCTGCAGGGATTCTCTGTTAGCGGTTGTCGTACTTCAGATTCCTTAGAACAGGGAACAGCGCCTCTTGAGGATTGTGTTACAAAATTATTTGGATCCTTAACAAGGGAAAAAGAAATAACTGCATTCTTATTCTCTCAAGAGGAAAAAGAATGAAAGCATTCTGCATAGCGTACTATAGCATAACACACCGATTCCATCAACAACAGAAAAAGCTGAGAACAAGTGTTACAAGCTTTTTGTAATTTTTTTTTTTTAATCCAGTATTTAAAATTGTTTCAGGATTTGATTCCAGGTGCTTTTGCCAGCTACTTTAGGTATCTTCCCATGTTTCCCTAAACAAGACTGCACGTGGCAGATATTGCCATTTCATAAATGGCATAAATTGAGCAATAGGTATCTGGTACTACTCGTTTCAGCATTCTGACTGAATTCTTACACAGCAATAACAATTACAATTTAAGTCAATCAACTATATGAAGTTACAGTGTGAAACCCAATATCTATGTAAGAAGCCTCCCTCTGATGGTCAAAAGAGTAGCAATCAATTACTTTGACATCAACTTTTACAAGACTTATAAGTACACTCAACTTTAAGCCTCAACAAAAGGGATTCTAAGCTGTTTCAGGTCTGCTATTTAAAAAAGGGCACGTGGGACTGCAATAAAGCAAAAGTTGTAAATAGAGGGAGACTGCTCACACCAAATCTTTAAATTCAGATTAAAGAGCTACACATTAACATTCTCCCCCCTCCCCGATACTCAAATCAATTTTTAATCAGCAACTAAATCAGACACTCACCGCTACCTTTGAGTTCGCTGGTTTATTAAAAGAAGCCTCAACAAGCCTTTGAGAACAGGGTGCAGCTTCCTGCTTTACACTGCTACTATTGATTCTAGCAGATGCTCCACTTGTAGTGGACAATTTGGATAAACAAGTAGTGCCAGGCTGTTCTTGTGCATTGTTTTGCTTTGCAGATGGATGACTTAGGTCATCTTCCCAGGAACCAATTGTAGCAGCAAGGTTAGCTAAACGGCCTCTTCTCCCAATAGGGGTGTCACTTGCCAGGGCATTAGACGGCTGCTTAGGTGGAGAAACACACAGATCTTTTGACTGGAGGGGAGACAGAGGAACACATTCAGAGGGATCTGGAAAGAAGAAAACACATTGATTTTGCTAATAAAATATATTGAGATATATTTGCATCTTTTGCTATATGTTGAGTTTATCAACAGTTAGCTACTAGCTCTCAATGCACTGAGACTCATCAAGTTAAGTTAAAGGTCATTACAAAGCCAACACATTTTTAACCAAGCAGTTTACTGGTTTTACATCACTGTTATGATGAGCAAGGCATCACACTAGTAGGGAAAAGATGTATAAAATTAAGCTGTAGTCAACAGTTTCATTATTTCAGGCTTTCCACAGTGCTGTCCAAGAATTCTTTATGAAAAGATCAGCATGCACACACACAAACTTGTCTTTTGCTAGCAAACATCATCAATGCAAACACTGGAAAAATACTGCTTAGCCAGTGAAACATACCCTCGCTGTCCCAGCAGCGTCGCTGTTCTGCCAGTCTCTGCATGCGTGTTTTGACTGAAAGGACCGCAGGAGTTCCTGACTGCGTGTTTGCTTTTCCTTTCTCAAGGGGCTGAACCAATGAATCCCTGTTAGAAGCAGCTACATGCAACTCTGAAGTCACCTCGGGAGAATGATGGCTTGTGGAACCTGAAGGAACTGGTTGTATGTTCTCTGAACTGGAAGCTTGAGTCTCCACATTGTCAGGGCAGAGCCTCTTTGATGGTGATGGCTTTGTAACAGGTTTCACTGTACAGGTTAGAATATTCAAGCAAATTAGTATCCAAAAAATCTAAAATATTTTCAGAGAAAGTACAATATTGTAATGTAAATAAAGCTGTGATTTACAAATACCCTGATACACCTCCCAAAAAACTGCCCTTCCCAAATTCTACCAAGGACAAGGCACCATCTTTGGCATTATACAATTATTTTTAAATATCTTCCTCATTACTTAGAGCATCTGCTCCCAGGTTAAGCTAAACATTAGCCATGCTCAGTCCTAGTGGTCAGGTAACTGCATCCATGGCTGTTGAGTTTAAGATAAACACTAGGGGTTTTAGAATAAAGGAGATGGGACTTGCATCAAACGACAAACTTCATTAAATAAACTTGTTACAAAATACCTTCTTCGTCAGGAAGAGGTGCCTGGTTACCAGTTTCTAATAAAGGCTCTCTGACCCTCTTGGTCTGCGCTGTCGGTCTCATTCCCATCTTGGGCCGCTCAGCCATTTTCTTCTGCAGGTTCTCTCTCCTGGCACGGGTTCTCTCAAGGAGTTTCTGAGCAGTCAGTAAATCATGCGTTACTATGCATTGCAATAAATGTGTTAACTAGTAAAAGTTCAAATTAAAAATGTGTGAATCTCATATGGCACGTATCAAGATACACAAGAGCAGAAATTCATCGTGAAGGCAAACGCAGCTCTCTCGTGTTACCAACCCATCTACTGTAATACAATGCAACAAATTAGTCAGTGTCTGTTTTTCTGACTGGCTCTTCCCTCCTGAAAGAAGAACAAAAACCATGTTTTCTACACTGCCAACTATATGGTTTTTCTGTCTGCCTCCTTTCTCTCCCTGCCATAACCCCTGATGTCGGTACTTTGATTTCACCATTGCAATATCCACAGCTTCTCCCATTGTCAGCAAGTACCTGTTGGATAACAGGTGACTCCTGACACTGCAGCACATTCCAAGCTACCTTCTCACTATCTGGTTGATCAGGACATGTTTGCAGGTTACCTGCAGTGATTTGATCTACCAGACAGACATTTTGGCTGTAGCATTTTCTTCACAAAGGCAAAGGTTTGGGTCTTTTCACAGAGCCACAAACTTCAATGAAAACTGATGAAGCAGTTCAGTTTGAGACACCTTCCCTTTTATTAAGAAGTAGTGAAGCTAGCCAGTAGGTTCCAAAGTTCTGGTCATTCAATCAACCAGTGTCTCCCATTAGCTTGGCTTTCAAAGGAAAACAGGTTAAAGAGACACAAGCAATAGCAAAATAAATTAAAAAAAAATCTATAGACCCTGAAGTACATTTGGTTTGAAATTTTTTTTTTTTTTTTTTTTACTGAATCATCACATGAGTCTTGAACTGTCAAATCTTGCTTGTAGGTTTTTTTGACACATTGCTAAAGCATGTGGTCAAGTCACTTGATTGGCACTAACCCTCTAATAAAATAAACAACATTGAAGTGGTTGTCACAGGGTCATAAAGTCAATTAATTAAATGTGTGATTGTTAAAAAAGAAATGTTGCTATTACACCTTCTAAATCAAAATATGTGTTTCTCTTCCTTAAGCTTAAGTTTTACAAACAGACTCATGTTTTAACTGCTTGTCTGAATAAACAGTCTATTTATCACAATATATCTGTATACAGAAGAATATATAAAGATATAACAACATCCTAACAACATTCTCTTTCATTCCATATCCATTGGAAATTTGAGTACCATCATATTCCATATAAAGCAGCTGTTTTAGTAAGTGTTCCACACCAATAGAAAGTGATTCCTTACAGCATCCAAGTTTGAAATAGGTTGTGGGTTTTTTTTCTTTTCTTTTTTTTTTTTTTAAATACTGCATTCATAAATCATCACACCTCAGTTTGATTACATCTAAAGGTTACTTAATTACTCCTTTGATCTAGGTTTTAAGGCACTTTAAGACAAGAAATTTTGTGATTGAACTAAAGGCCTTTAGAGGGAAGCATATAAACTGCACTTGTTTGGTGGCACATAAATTATTGTGAGAACTGTGCCAGCCATTATCTGTCCTGTTGCAGAGCAATTAAATACACATTTCACATTTTTAACTGTCTAAGGCTGAAGTCTTCAACAATGTTCCATTGTGGGGCAACACAGGACAAATAGAATGTCAGTCTCAACAGCTTTTTTTGTGAAAGCAAAAATCAGCTTCTGGAACTTCTATAGAAGAGGAGGATTTGGGGGGGGAAGATACATGGAATGCCAGGAGTGCCTTCAATGCAAGTTCCATGGTAGTTGCACCTATCAATCAAATTTCCTTATTTCAACCTACAAAAGGCAGAGCTACAAAGTGCAGGTAATACCCACACAAATAAAAACTTAAAGGCTATATAAATTCACTGTTCTTCTTGCCCAAAGTTGATTATATCTTCCACAGTGGTATTCCTACAATGCTACTCAGATGCAGCCACATTCCTTTCTGTTTTGTTAGTTCAGTGAAATGGAGTTTCAGTTGTTACAGAGAGGGTGTCACTTCCCAAGAACGCACGCCTCTGGTGTTCAACTCCAGCTCCTATTGGCTTTTTGTATCTCAAATTTTCCATGCAACTGCTGTAATTCAAACTCTGCTATTACGCATGATGAGTAAGCCAGTCACCAGAACTCGAGACTCAACTTTTCAAGTTCATCAGCAGGGTATTTGCTACAAGAACATTCTCCAAGTGTTCTGAAAAGGCCTTCCCACTTTAATTGTTGATGAACAATCTTGCTTTTTTTTTTTAAAAAGTATGTTTTTAAATATGTATTTAGCAGCATTAGAGAAGATACTCAGGCCCACACATGATTACAAGAATTTGTTTTAGCTACTCTGCTTTACTAGCAGAATGCAGCACAGGGAGAAAATTTATCCGTGACACTGAAGGAACAGTTAACCTCAAATTACTTCACATACACAAGTTTTCCCCTGAGCAACTGCATCACTGACTTCTCTTTGGTCACCCACCATGCTAAGAAGCCATACTTTGCTCTATGAATGCTACTAAGTACTTCAAAGTATAAGATAACCTAATTGCTAACATTCTGCTATACTAAACATAAAACCTTTTGTGAGAGGAAGGTGAATTATACAATCAGCTATCAACCAAGAGTGACAAACAGTACGTTCATTGTGATCCTAAAAACAGTATCCACTCCACCATCTCCTCAGTGCATTCTGTATTAATAATTTGGCTGAGATTCAGAAAGTTATTAGGTTTCGCTTGCAAGATTAATAAAAAAACCCATTATTTCAGAACTCTTACTTGAAAGTGCTCCACTGAATCTCACAGCAAGATTTATTTGAACTTAAATTCACCGAGACCAGGACAAAATTTGCTACTGTAAAGTGTTCAGCAAAAACTGAATTAACAGCATGTTTTGGCAAATTAAGGCTTGAGTTACACTGCTTTACATAATCACTCACAATGCCTCACCAGTTCCCTACAAATAACAGAGTAGGGTAGTTTGTAGACAAAGATTACCCAAAAATAGTTAAGCTAAGGAAAGGTTGTATTAAAAGAAAAAAAAAAAATCAGAACATAAAACCTTCATAGTTGGTGGTAAAAAGCTTCCTTGTCAGAAAACTTTAGGAAAGTTATTAAACTTCAATACTAATAGACTAATATTGGTCAGATTTTTACATAACAGGGGAATGTCCTCCACAGCAAAAACATTCTTGATAAGGCAACATTTTAGGCACTCTGCAGCACTAGCCAACAATTGAATTAAGTTTACTCTGAGGAGTGGCCTCACAGTTGGCCACAGCTTTCCAAAGTCAGTTATCTGCAAGGAGGGTGTGTTGAGGTTGGAATATCTCCCAGCATGCAAAACCGTTTTAAACTTAAGTAGTGTGGACTCGAAGTTTATTTAAGACTAGTCAGATCATGTCACTCACTACCAATTAAGGAAGGAGGTTTTAGATGTTTATTCTTAACAAGCCTTTATACGGGGGTAGGGTAAATCTGCTTTGGCATAACCCGTTTAGTAAGTATGTCCAGATCAATACCTTTTGTTCAGTTTTAAAAATCAGATCTGTGCAGTCACCTTATTTTGGGCACTCAATTTATTTAAAAGTATGCCAGTTTGATATACAGATTGTTTTCAAGCAGAGGAGAGAGTATTTCACCAACATATTTGATTTCGATTTGTTTTTTTAAGTAGTTTAGGTTTTTGTTTAGGTAGGCTGTGGATTGAAGGCTGTTTTTACCATGACATTTCTCAAAGCAGTCACAAGATAGCTCCACACACAGCTTCACACCTCACACATAAAATCAGAGTACAGCAACTTTAAGAAACATCCAACCATCATATAGATTAAAAGGGGTCAATTCCATTCACTTTGTTACAGTTTTGCCTGTGTAAAACTCAAGCACACACAGGCAAATCCACCCTAACAAACGACTTCTTTTTAAAGAAGAAAATGAGGAACTGTGTCTGCCAAGGAAATTGACCAATGGTAGGTGGAAATAATGTCCACTAGGACGCATTTTTAATCAGATGGTGGTTGCTTTGGGCAAACGTTACACTCGGCCTTTAGCCAAGTCGATCCCGCTCCCCTCGGCTTCCAGGGCCCCTTCTGCTTCAGCCCAAAACCTTACCTGCCAGAGGCACACGAACGGCAGACAGCAAAGCGCCAGGAAACGCACAGCCTGGCTTAGAAAAGGGCCTTTCCTTGGCAAACCCTTCCATGAACCTCCCCTCTGTCCTCCCCGGGCAG